CCCGGGATCGAGTCCCGCATCGGGCTCCCTGCTCAGCGGGGAGTCTGCTTCTCCCTCTGACCCTCCCGACCCTCCCCCCTCTCATGCTTTCTCTCTCTCAATCTCTCTCTCTTAAATAAATAAATAAAATCTTTAAAAAAAAAAAAAAGTAGATACTAAAACACCTGGGAATGCAGCCCAAGAATCTGTCTTTTAACAAACTCTCCTGAAAATTCTTACAGTCACTAAAGCTTAGGGGTCCCTGCCCTAGACCATAAGCTTTTTGTATCACTGTGCTGGCATGTAATATATATTCAATAATGAGTGTTTACCGAATGGGTTGATGAGACCACTTGAGGTACGAAGTAATATACTCGAGGATCTGAAAACCAACGTAAGGCACTGCCATCTGTGTCTTTATGTTTTATGCCGTCTTACCTTCAACTCTCGGCAGCATTTGACACAGCTGACCACTCCCTCCTCGAAAGACTTTCTCCTGTCTCAAAAGAAATACCACTTTCTCCCGGCTTTCTTCCTACTTCAACCTCTGTTAACTGGATCTTCTTCCCCCGCTGACTCCAGCCTGAGCCCCCTTGTCTTCTCTAAATGCCCCCATTCATGGCATTAAACACCATCTCTGTGCCAGATGCTTTCCTATCAATATTCTGGCCCTGACCTCTCCCTAGAACTCCAGACTCGTAAATCCAGCTGCCTATCTGCCATCTCTACATCTCCATAAGGATGTTGATAATGCAGATTTGTTGTTTATATTCTTATGTGTGTGCGTGTGGTTTTTCTTCCCCCTCCTTTCAGAGTTCAAGGACTTTCTCACCATGTGAGTGTTGTGGGAGACTGCTTCTGAGAAATCTAAAAGGCCAGATATTTGTGTCCCCAGCACTCCTGGCATCTAGCCCATGCCCTGGCTCAGTAAATCAGATACACCCACTGGGGACTGAAGATTTAGCTAATTATGCAAAGAAGCAGGGCAGTGAGGAATTAATGCCATGGGTGCTAGTGGCGGGATGTTAAGAGAGCAAACTGCCGATTTCAACAGCAGGAGGCAACAGCAGGGTCCTCACCAGACCAGTTCTACAGGGAGATTCTGAGCTCCTCACCTCCCTGGGAACAGCCTATTTTCCAAGCTTGTAAACTTAACTTTCCTGGTGATTTGTGAGCTATCAAAGGTTGTCTCAATAAGGAATTTTCCTGCTTCAATCAGCCACAGTTGGTTTGACTGCTTACTTGGAGCTAACCACTGCCTGAGGAACTCTAATCCAGTGTTCAATAGATACCGCAACACGTAACATCCAACAGAACTGAATTCCCCACAAACCTGCTCTTTGCTCAGTTTTCCCATCTCAGTAAACCACCATTTATCCAGCTGCTCAGGCCAAAAATCTAGGTCATTACCCTTAATGTCTCCCTTTCCTCAATTCCTTCACAGGTAACCTACAAGCAAATTTCATCAACTCTACCCCTGAAACATATCCCCAATGCATCTACTTCTCTGCGTAAATTACTTCTGTCCTAGTCTAAGCTGCCTGATCTCCGCCCTGACCATGGCCACAGTCTCCAAACTGCTCACCTGCTGCTACTCTTGCCCTCCCACTACAATCTCTTCTCCATAGAGCAACCCACAATATTTAAAAACTACAAACCAGACCATGTCACTAAAACCTTCAATGGCTTTTCCCCCCAAACTCACAATAAAACCCAAGCTCTTATCCTGATTTACCAAGTCCTATGTGGTCTGACTCCTGCCTGTGTCTCACACTTCATGTCATAACACCGTCCTGCTGTGCTGCAGCCACACTGGACTTGTTTCTTGCAGACACAAAGCTCTACAAGGGCTTACCACATTCCCAGATCTCAACATGGATGGCTTCTTCCTTCAGGCGTCAACTCAGATTCACTCGCTCAGAGAGCTCTTGCCTGATGACCCAATCTAAAGTATCTACTCAGTCATCCTTGATCACATCACACTAGTTTCATTCTCTGCACAACACTTGCTATCTGATATGATTTGGAAGAATGCTGGCTTTTCACTACAATATCCCTATCAACTTACAAATCCATAATGTATGTTGTTATTATTAGTAACAACAGTTAATCATTCAAAATATTTCTGAGGATTGTTACCATTATTAACAAAAACTTATATTACATATCAGTAAATTTCTGTTTAGCAAAGGTAAGTTGCCAAAGTCACACAGGAAATTTGTGATAAAACCACGATTCAAACCCAAGCTTATTGACCTCACAGCCTGACCTCTGAAATGCTACCCTCCACTTACTCAAAACTTTTTTTTTTCTTTTTTTTTTTTTAAGCAAGCTCTGGCCAGTTTTATTAAAGAAAAAGTCTTGTATGACTCACTTTTCACCGGTCTGTCCTGGCATGCTTCCAATGATATCAAAATCACCTGATCGATGAGAGCCAGTGCGCATACTCCACAGTACTTTCCACTTTCTGTGCCCAATTCAATACTACTGCCACTGAGTGATGGACACCAGTTATGGCCAACATGGCACAACACTCTGTTTCTGATTTCCTCAAGGCTGGGAGTTGGTGAGGATGATCAGTTTCACTTTGCCATGTCTGATCATTAACAGAGTCTGCTTGTACCCCAGCACATACTTTCCACTTTTCATATTGATCTGGAGCCCAAAGTAGATCAACTCCAGTGGCTCTTTTGTCTTCTTTGCAGCCACTGTCTTCCTGCCTTAGGTGCGAGCCGGCCCCACAAGATGGTCGGGGAGTGAGGAAAAAAACGCTAAATCCTGATATTCCATAAAGTACCAGCTCATGTTATAATTCTCCATAAAGCCTTCCCTATTTCATCTAAAACCACATGGCACTGACAGTCTATATTACATATCTTATCAATTACTTCTATTGTGATATCATTAGTTGTCATTTCATATTATCTGATTATCACTTAAGTGATAAGCAACTTAGGTTGCCCCAACAGTAAAAGTCCCTAAAAGATGGTCCTACTGTACTGATTCATATACTTCTAGTTTACTAACTAAAAGAATAGCGATCTCGGGCGCCTGGGTGGCTCAGTTGGTTAAGCAACTGCCTTCGGCTCAGGTCATGATCCCAGGGTCCTGGGATCGAGTCCCACATCGGGCTCCCGGCTCAGCAGGGAGCCTGCTTCTCCCTCTGACCCTCTCCTCTCTCATGCTGTTTCTCTCTCGCTCGCTCTCTAATAAATAAAATCTTTAAAAAAAAAAAAAAAAAAAGAATAGCGATCTCAGAGCCTAAAAAGTAGTGGGATTGTCATTCTACCATTTCCCCCATAGAAATGTCCCAACTGTGCCATTAGCTGGGCTGTATAACCTCAGAAGCCACGGATGTCTGAGATTTCTATACTCTTCTAGTTGCGGTTAATTCATTCTTTCCCATTGTGGCCATCTCTATTCTTCTGGACCCCATAATTACTTCTCAGTTTCCACTCCTTCATCCAATACAGCTGTTTCTCACTGGTGATTTTTTTTTTTTTTTTTAGTTTAGAAGAGGGATGGGCAAAGTATGGTTTGCAGGCCAAATCTAATCTGCCACTTATTTTTATAAATAAAGTTTTACTAGAACACAGCCATGCTCATGGGGCGCCTGTCGGTTAAGCATCTGCCTTCGGCTCAAGTCATGGTCCCAGGGTCCTGGGATTGAGCCCTGCATCGGGCTCCCTGCTCAACGGGGAGCCTGCTTCTCCCTCTCCCTCTGCTGCTCCCCCTGCTTGTGCTCTCTCGCTCCGTCAAATAAATAAAAAATCTTAAAAAAAAAACAAGAAAACATAGCCATGCTCATTTGTTTATGTCTTATCTGTGACTGCTTCTGTACTGTAATGGCAGGATTGAACAGCTGTGACAGGGACAGACCATGTGGCCCATAAAGCCTAAAATACTTACTGACTAGCCCTTTACAGAAAATGTTTGCCAAACCATGGTTTAGGGGAAGCAAAGCTGAATCCTGGAGGGGTGAAGGGATTCATCTAAGATCCCACAGCTGCTAAGTGGCAGAGGGAGAACCACTCTCACGCATTTAGGAGGATTTTCCAAAAGTCATGGTATCATACAACACTTTTACTCTACATCTTTTTGGGCCTGAGACTTTAGTAGTTTTATGTAAACTAATACATAGCTTAACTCTCAAAAGCAATTATCAGGGGTGCCTGGGTGGCTCGGTCAGTTAAGCGTCGGCCTTCGGCTCAGGTCGTGATCTCGGGGTCCTGGGATCGAGTCCCGCATCAGGCTCTCTGCTATGCGGAGAGCCTGTTTCTCCCTCTCCCCCTACTCTTCTCTCTCTCTCTCTCTCAAATAAATAAATAAAATCTTAAAAAAAAAAAGCAATTATCAAAAATGCAGAGAATACTGATCCGAAGTTTCCAAAGGTACTACAGTTTTTGGTAATGTGCAAGTGAAATCATACTCCTCCAGAACACTGGAAGTTTTGTTGGATGAGACAAAGCCAGTAACACTGGTTTTATTTATGAGCCCCCAAACTAGTGCTAAATGAAACTTGACTATGCAAAAGTCCAACTCAATTACCTGAGGGAGCCAGGTAGGTAACAGAAGTACATAAATCAATCTAATACACATGATAAACAAGGAGTGAAGAAGGCCTTGGCCAAACAACACTGTAAAGCCAACCAAATACAGCTGCAGGTAAGAGCAGGCTTGGTATCGGGCTATTAGTTTCTATCCCTGGACTATGTCATCAATTCCTAGAAATCTTAAAAAGGCAAAATGTAAAATCGTAACAAATCAAAACAAATCACTTGAATAAAACTTCCTTACCCCCAGGTAGCCTTACCTTCAACAACATATACCTTAGTCAAAGGAAAGTCAATACTCTTTGCCATTACTTCAATTTCCTGTTTAAGCTTTCCCTCAGGCAGAGGTGTGAATTTGTCAAATAAAGGGGCAATATAATCAGCATATATTGTGACAAGCACCTGAAAAATAAATGTCAGAACAACCTATGAAAATGTTCTTAAAGAAAAACTGCTATATATATAGATTATATTAAAACAGCCTTGAGATCCAGCCTTGAGAACATGGATCTTTTCTTATTTGCTCTGGTATTCCCAGCCCCAAATAATACCAGATAGTAAGTGCTCAATATCTGTTAAACTAAATCAAAGTGAGTAGTCTCTATGTGGCAATAACTGAAAAGTCAAATGGTCCATTCAAAACTATCTTGGGAATTTCTGACACTTCATAAGCCCATCATAACTGAGAATTCTGCCTTTGAGAGTAATCATGAGAGACCTGCAGTCTTTGCTAGAAAAATAATTACTAGAGCTTGACTGTGTGCTGTTTTTTGGTTGGTCTGCTAAAATTAATTACCTGCAGTGCACAACTATCCACTGTGTTTGGAATGGCACTTCCTTAAGCATTTCAGGAGCATTTCCTCTGTTCTCTTTCCTCTCACTTCATTTGCCATACACAGATGTGCATAAATCCAACTAGCACCTGTTTTCAGAGTTTGATCCCACCAGTAGAAAGTAAAGCAGTGAACATCATGGCAATTCAGACTAAAGTAAACCTCATCATCAGAGGAGCTGAACAGCTAACAGATGCTATTTTTTGGAGGCTGTGAACAGACCGCTTTCATTGTGTTGTAGTGTGTGTTGTGAAGTGGTTTAGAATATGGTAGAGAGAAGAAGCAAAGACGTGAGGAAGGGAAGACGGGGGGTGAGAGGAAAAGGGAGGGAGAACAGAAGGAGGGGAGGAGAGAAACGAGAGAAGGGAAGGGAAGAGGAAGGGAAAAGGGAACAGAGAAGAAGGGCTAAAGAAGGGAGAAAGGAGGAGGGGAAAGGCAGGGGAAGGAGGGCAGAAAAAAAATTGGGTAAGTTTATGCTTTCTTTTTCTTATCCCTCTTAAATCTAGTCTCTCTTCAAAACATCCACAATAGGCTGGGGCACCTGGATGGCTCAGTCAGTTAAGTGTCTGCCATCGGCTCAGGTCATGATCCCAGGGTCATGGGATCGAGCCCCACATTGGGCTCCCTGCTCAGCAGGAAGCCTGCTTCTCCCTCTCCCACTCCCCCTGCCTGTGTTCCCTCTCTCGCTGTGTCTCTGTCAAATAAATAAAATCTTAAAAAAAAAAAAAAAATCCACAATAGGGGCGCCTGGATGGCTCAGATGGTTGAGTGTCTGCCTTCAGCTAGGGTCATGATCTCTGGGTCCTGGAATAGAGCCCCATGTCGGGCTGCCAGCTCAGCAGGGGAGCCTGCTTCTCTCTCTCCCTCTGCCTCTCCCCCTGTTTGTGTACTCTTTGTCTCTCTCTCAAATGAATAAATAAAATCTTTACTAAATAAATAAATAATAAAGTCTATTAAAACATCCACAATATTTTAGGCACTGGAGCTCAGTAGAGTCATTAAATGATCAAACTTAGTCATCCATTCTAGTGACAACTCACAAATGCACAGCCCAAAATTGCCTGACAACTGGATCATTAACAATAACTAACAACCAGCTTCTAGAATCTGAGTCAGCATTAGGAGGAGAAAATCTATGGTCAGAGTCAGCTCTCTATTTCTATACCCAAAAGCAGAAACCAAGAGGGAAATTTATATGACCACTTATTTATATTTCATTTGCTTCTTAAGAACTGCTCATATGCTAATGAAGATTAAATCATAGTTATCTCGCCAAGGAAATCTTGTAAAAGAAAATGAAACAAAGATTTTACTCACCAGAGAAACAACTAATGTGAACAGCCAGGCATATATAAAAAAATAGTCACCCCCAATTTTGATAATGTAAAGTAGAAGTGAAGACACAGGCAATAAAATGCACTGAGTCACAATAAATTTCTTGACTGCATCTTTCATGAAGAATCCCAAAGTCTGAAAAAAGAAAAGATTATCACAAGAAACTGAAAAAATGCTTTTAAAGTAACTAATAAATGAATACAGAAGGTACGCTATTAAAGCAATTTTAAAAGTTAAAAGGCAGTGAGTCTATATTATATGACAATAGGCAGCCTAATACAGTAAGTAAATGTCTGGCATTTTATAGTTCAAAATACACCATTTAAATGTTAGCAGAAAAACACTAGACTTTAGTATGAAAAGTTTACGGCAAGACTTTAAGCTATGAGCTTTACCATATCTGCAGTTCCTTTTCCTTCAATTAATTCATGCTCTAAAATAGCAAATTATGGGGGAGCCTAGGTGGCTCAGTTGGTTAAGCATCGGACTCTTGATTTTGACTCAGGTCATAATCTCAGGATCATGGACTCTGCACTCAGGGGGGGGTCTGTTTGGGATCCTCTCTCTCTCCCTCTTCCTCTCCCCCCTGCTCTCTCAAATAAATAAATAAATCTTTAAAAAAATAAAGTAGCAAATTATGTTTCAATTATTACCAGCAGAGGGGAAAAAAGCACAAAAAAGTCTTTATATTTAAAAGAGAACATGTGTATTCTCTAGTTTACCTGTTGATTGAAACCATGTTTTTCTTCTATCACAAAAGTATTATAAAGACTCCATGGCAAACCAGTCAATGCACTGAAAAGTGTAGCCAACAGGAGAAACACCAAGGACTGAGTGATCTAAACACAAGAAGAAAAAAATGGCAGTTTTTATAGTGTAATATTAATTCGTTCTTCAAATGAATGATTAGTGAACAAATGAACAAGTAGTTGTTGAGCACTTACTACATCTCAAGCAATGTGCTTGATTCTATGGGTAATGCAAGGTCTGAAAACATCTCTACCCTCTGAGTTTACTTGAGAGAAGGAGGCAATAAAACAATATCTCTTTTATCCCAGGCACTATGTGAAAGTTACCTGAAGCCATACAGACAAAGAAGAACTAAAAAATGAGAAACAACCACATACACTGGTGAATTCAAGCAAGACTTACTAGGCTGAGGAGACTCGGGATGCCACTCTGAAGAAAGAGGTG